TCCATCTGTACAGATACCTGCAGGGAGCACACACAGAAGCTGGAGCCAGGGTCTTTCCAGCAGTGCCCAGTGACAGGCCCAGAGGCACAAACTGACACACAGGAGATTCCCTCTGAACGCCAGGAGACACTTACTTTCACTGAGAGGGTGACCAAGCACTGGCACAGGTTGCCCAGGGAGGTGAAGTCTCTGTCCTTGGAGGTTTTGAGAAGCCACCTGGACATGGTCCTGGGCAACTGGCTGCGGGTGACCCTGCCTGAGCAGGGTGTGGGCCCAGATGGACCCCAGAGGACCCTGCCAACCTCAACCAGCCTGTGATTCTGGGACTGGTTTCTGCTACTGACACACATCTCTACTTCAGTGCGTAACCTTTAATAAGTACTAGACAAACATGCCAGCTGACACCTCTCTATGGTGCTAATTAGTATTTCTATCTTCCCTCTGCACTGTTAAAAGCATCCAAGCAAGCTGTCATGATACAAATGCATTACTCCCAGCTTCAAAAGAAGATATACATATAAAAACCCTCCTAGAATAATTTCATTTTGCATGACAAAAACCCAAGCATCCAGCTGTCCTTAATGTGGCCAAGTAACTCACCTGCCCTGCATGACCAAAAATAATTATCCCATAATGCAAATAATTCACTAGACACTCCATACACATTTGTATTTATAAACCATGAAGTCTAAAAATAGAGGAATTTTCAAGAAGAGGAATGAAGAGACAACCTTATGCTGCACTTCAAGTGACCTTTTATGTCTGCAGATCCTTCTTAAAAGACAGCAGCTTTAGCAGTTACTATTAATATTTCTGCCTTTACACTTCATCAAATATAGGAATAAAAGCAAACACCTGTGGCTGACAATCTCTAGGAAGTTTACGAGCAAAAAAAGGGACAGTATTCAATACTAATGCCAGTCAAGTACTGCCTACTGGTATCTATGTGCAGAATACCTTATTTTTTCTTTAGAAAAAAGAGAATAGGAAATAAAATATGCATCTAGGGCAGTACATAAGGAAAATCCTTATCAAGGTTACATTAATGCTCATGCCCAGTTTTGTCTTTATGTTATGACCACGGTGTCAAGAGCTCAGTTTTACAAGGAGTTGGTACACTAGACAAATAGGTGATTTAGCTGAGCCGAGATGTTTGCTGTGAAGAGGTCTGCACAATCAGGTTTTCAACAGTTTAGCTGCTGCATTTGACAGTTGACAATTGCAGCCATTCATTAGCGTTCCTGGAATACAGCCTGCACAGTTCAGGCTGGTCAGCTATCTCTGGAAAATGATCTATACTCTGCTCCTTTTCCAACATGCCGAGTAATATTTTGCCCCAAAAGTCTGCCAAACATGTAGGAGGTTTGAACAAGCTTTCTCAGTCAAATTCTTTTAACAGAGGCAACATATTTCTTTTCCCCCAAGAGCCAAAATAAAGTTATTAAGCCAGCTGGAATATTATGCTTGTGAACTACGAATTTGTGTATACATGGGCATAAAGTGAATGGAGAAACTCATCCACAGGTCCCAAAATCCTCTCAAGTACCCTCATCCTCAATAATTAGTATTGCTGCCAAAAAGCAGCAAATGAAGAGTCAGGGCAAGATCCAGATCTGCTTGTGTTTTTATAGCATTTGTCAGACCTGGGATTCAAAGTGGACTGCAATATTCACATCTGCCCCAGCAGGAGTGCTCTTGCCTCCCCCCTTGAACACTGCTGCAGTTTATTCTACTTGTAGCCACCTTTGGAGAGGAAAAGAAAATAGAACTATGTTATGCTGCAGATCTTTCATTACTTCCACAGAACATATTCCTCTTTCTAAGAGCTTAGCAATTTAGATGCACCAACTGAAAAACACACCTTGACTTTTGACAGGGAGGTGTGACATGCCAAAGGCACTTTTTTTGTAATTCTTCTGAATCTCTTACCTGCCCTCTCTTCTCCTCAGATAAGATTTCTTAATTAATCGAGTCTTCACTATTCATCAAGCCAATACAAGAAAACAGTTTTGACTAGACTACTGTAAAAGTGTACTGGACTATCAGAACAGGAAATTAGTTTTCATGCAATGTCTTGCATAAAGGTCAGATCTACATCTATAGTTACATATTTCTTTATTTTCTATCTATGCATCAGTTTATATAACTTACACCTCCACCTCTATTTTACATGCAGTTTGATTTAAAGCAGCAGACCGTAAGAGAGGAATAATACCAGGAACTATTTCAGAAAGGTGGGAACTGACCAGCTTTTTACATCAGACCTCTTTGTCTCATACTCATATTCAGAATGATGAACAACTTCCTAGGTAAACCCAGGATATTCAGGGCTACACATTATTCCTTGATGAATCACTGTTTTAGAAGATGACTGTGGCAGAATCATCTACACAAGTTTCTCAAGCTTCAGGTATGTCCAAATATTTAAATATAATTGAAGGTGTCAGAAGTTTAGATACCTGATTACACATCAGCACCCCCCTTCCTGGGTATGTTACACATTAATACTAAGATAAGAAACAATAAAACATATTCCACAAACTTCTAGCTCTTACCATCACAAGGTAAACTCTCAACAAAACCAAGCATTAACTTCCTGAACCTGCAAGCAGCCGAAAGTGACTCATGATGTGTGAACTCCCTTTGTGCCCTATTAGTTTTATCAGTGTCAGCCCTCAGCCTATTAATGACACCTGAAGGTCTTCATTAACTCTTTCACCACGGATTTCAGTAGATAACACAGCTGGGCATAAATCCATGGGAGTAGTGGCATCATTTAAATGGCTGGAAAGAGGGGGGAAAAGCAGAAGCAAGAAAAGAACAGCAGATAAGCAGAAGATGGTTTTATCATAAAGCCTTCTCAGTGAGTAAAGCAAATAAAGCCAAAGTGGTAAAATAGCCTTAACTGCTAGAATTTTATTTTCTCCTTTCTGTGTCTAAAACCAGTGGAAGTCAGAATACTGTTTGAGGGGAGGAAAGAATAAACTTGGATCTGCCAGCTCTGTACCACCAACTTTGCATGAAGTCTGGGTCTACTCAAAGTAAACTTCTGCTGCTTCCCAGTACCACCAGCAAAGAAAGCTGGGAGAGACTTTCATACTACACAGCTCCCTGCTTGCTGTGCCACTTGAGCAAAGACAAGGCTTTATCACCCAGTACAGAAGCAGACAGCTGAGCAGTACGTGTATCTTTCCAGATAACCACGAGCTAGTTTCTCTGCTAAACATGGTCACACAGCACATCAAAAAGAGTGTCTGCATTTGGGGTCCATTACTGTTCCTTACTCACAGTGCTCATGGCCAAGTTTCTGAAGTAGAGATCACTTTAAAACTCACTGTTCAGGGCAGGGGTACAGAGAACTGTCTCACCAGTGCAACACAAAGTTAGCAGCCTACAGTCTTTTGAGTAAGTAGGACAAGTTCTTCCTTATAATTATATAAAGTGATTAATTTCTCACAGATAATCATGTCTGTTACCACAATTCATATGAATTATTAGAAGCTGTGCAAAATGAATGTAAAATACATTCCTTTCTGAATCCTTAATCAGAATGATTAAACACAAGACAAATCTGATAACATCCTGAGCTATGAAAAAACGCTACCAGCCTGAAATCTAACCTTATTTGCACAAAGAAGAGTTTGTCAGCTGGGTCAGCAATCCTCTTAAAGTAGGCACAACTGCTAGAAAATTTCAACGGTTTAACTTTTTCTTTAAGTCATTTCCTGCTTTAATCAGAAGTAGCACAATTCTACAGCATGGCTGCTGCCTGCACGGGCAGAGGCACAATCTCCCAGCAGCACCAGCCCAAGCTCCAGTGAGCACAGGGCAGCCTTACTGCAGATCTCTCGCTCCACACACTGATTTGTCTGGGAGGCACCTTCTCCACCCAACACACGCAGCTGCTCCACTACAAGACCTACGAACAGCAGGGACTATTTTATCCTGAAGTCTGGGAAGGCCTACAGTATAATTCAGCTCATATCTTCACATAATGGTGCTACTGCTTTTAAAAATACAAACACATACAGCCCACCTGTATTTCATGCCTCCAAACTGCAGTAAACATTAACAACATTAACCTGGTGCTAATTAGTAACACTGCTTTCCCTGAAAGTCTCTCCAAGAAGTCAATTAAGTGCAGTTTTAGCCATCACCTTTGCTACCCTTTGGAATAGTTTGACAAGTCTATGGGAGTCACAGACATGCTTCCTCTCTCAGGTCCTTCAACGAGTCTGCTCAGACTACACACCTTTGTTACAACTAACAGCTCCAAATTACTTTCCTATAAAAGAAAAGTCATTGTAAGGTTGTACTTTCCCCTGTTTACACATCTTTGCCCAAGCACTGTCCTTTCTATTCAATGCAAAGGACCGTTGGCTGTAGAGCTTTCACTGCGTAAGGGCACCCAAATTCATATCCTTATGCAAGTGCTCCTTACTAAAGTGCTACTATTAACTGCAAATTCAACAGCAGGATAAAAATCAAGAATCTGTGTTATAAACCCTGAAGTCTTCCAAGATACCTCACCTGATGGCCCTGAGACAGAACACTTCTGCTTTTAACAACACTGCAATACAGTGATGTTGACAAACCCATGTTAGCCTGGCTGCCATTTGAGCATTTTAGAATGCAGTCAGAGGAAAGCAGAGAAGACTTGCTTGCATGCTGAGGAATTAAGTGCAAAAGGAGTTTTTCCTCTTTGATTTGGAGGTCATACTGTTTGTGCATTTAGCAGCTCTCAGGCTCTCTTCTGCCCTGTTTTGAGAAATGTAATCACACTTGCAGCCTGAGAACAACATGTGTACAGTTCACTACTTGCCTAAATGCTTTGCTGTTTTAGTAGTCTTAAAAAAAAAAAAATTAGCCCAGCTAAACTTCAGTACAACTTTCTGAAAACATGAACTTACACAACACCTTACACAATAGACTTGACAACTTTAAAGTTGATCTTTCTCCCTTTAAAAAAAGGTACTTTTACAGCATTATAAAATTCATACCTGTCTTCATCACCATCAACAGGAATAGATATGCCAAACACAGAGCTGGCAAAACTGTTCATAGGAGTACTTGCAGGTAACTGAAGAGGATTTGCTAGAGTGTCTGGAATGGGAGGCTTCACAAGAGGTTTATTTTCAGCTGTAAGAGAAACTGGTGGCTGAGGTAGGGGTTCCGATTTTCTTCTAGTATCATCAATCTGGCCTACTAAGGACTGAGCTTGAGTCTGAAACTGCCCCAGGTTTGACTGTGGCAGATTAGCAGGTCCGCTGGACGTGCCCTGCATCAGTGAGTGTCCCACGTGCTGCTGGACCCCACCGGTGCTCCTGCTGCCAGCAGAGTGGCTGGGCAGCTGCGACTGGCCCAGCGACACAGGGACGTTTGGCATAGTGACAGAGGTGGTGGTGGACACACCAGGCACAACCGCAGGCACATTCTGAACTCCAGAGACCACGGCGTGGGCAGCACCAGGCATCCCGGACACTTGACTGCTTCCACCCATTGGATGCTGAGTCACAGATTTCTGTTGCACAACCCCTGCCTGCCCAATGCCCTGCTGCACCACACCTCCGGCCTGCGGAACAGCAGCCTGGCCAGCTTGTGTCTGCCCACCCTGCATTAATCCCGAGCCCTGTCCGACCGCTTCGCCAGGCTGCGCCGACACCCCCATGGCTGGCGCGCCCACAGGTGAGGGGTTCTGGCCAGCCACCTGCCCCACAGGAAGGCTGGAAGCCACAGTACTTGGAACAGAGCCCGCAGCAGCCTGCTGAATAGCTCCTTGAGACTGTATAATTGTCATGTGCTGCATGTATTCGGTCTGACCAGAAGGCTGCGTCGGCAGTAGATGCACCGGTGGAATCTGGGACTGAGAATAAGCAAATTGTTGAGGCTGAGTCACTGGTATGTTTGCTAAAAAAAAAGCTCCGGGGCGCCAGGAATGCTTGGCTGCCCCACTGCCACATTTGGAGGTGCCATGCCTTTCCCGTTGGGTCCAGCCTGTGCAACACCCGGCGTGTTTGCCTGTGGCTGGGATTGCTGGGGCACCATCATTTGCTGATTTGCTACCGAAGCCCCAGAAAACATAGGCTGAGCAGTACTTTGAGGCATGGCCCCACCTACGGGTTGCTGTGGCTGCTGTTGTTGCCCAATGACAAAATTAGGTTGCTGTAGAGAGGACTGGTTCATTTTCTCTGTCTGAAGCAGCTGTGACACAGCAGCCAGGGAACTGTCAGCTATAGAATCGGGGCCATGGGCCGACGATGGCAC